TCTCTCTCTCTCTCTCTCTCTCTCTCTTTCTCTCTCTCTGTCTCTCTCTCTCTCTCCCCCTTCCCTTTTACTCTCTCACTTGTAGGTTTTTGTATGTGTGTGTGTGTGTGTGTATGTGTGTGTGTGTGTGTTTTTGTCTGTGTGTGTTTGTGCCTGTGTGTGTTTGTGTCTTTTTATATGTGTGTGCGTGTATGTGTGTAGTCACTCCTCTTCTTTCAGACAAAAAAAAAGAAATAAAAATATCTACATGTCAATCATCGTCCCTCACTCGACAACAGTCGACAAGCAAGTTGTAGCTGCTCACATTTCTACCTCACAAACAAGGCTTGTGTTGTTTTAGCTTTCTACTTTTCCTTTCCCAGTTCTATCAAAATGACGCCATGACATTAGTATAAAAATAGTATCGCTATGCGTTGTTTGTGTTAGCTATAGTCAACACAAGGTTATGGTAAGGTTACTTTTGTAGATGGTAGACTGTACATTGTTACTTTTTTATAAGTACGATTCATTGTCTCTGCGAAAACAGTCCGAGACATCTTCATTATGTAAACGGTAGGTTCAGGATAGCTATCACAGAATCGTACTGAGAGGATCACAGTGATACCATATTATTGCAATACCTTGTCGGTGATGATGAAAGTAAAAACCGTTCCATGTCTGATGTTTACTGGCCATGCCCCGTTTCCTCTGTTTTCTTCCGTTTGACCTCAAAAACAAAACCACAAAGACCGTGGAAAAACGATGACTCCAAAGTGAGTCCGATGCTTGGAAACAGTCGAGGAATCGATGAATACTTTATGACGATTGTGACCAAGAGATGGATGAATAGTGGGGTGGATGCGTCCGATCGATGGACGAACAGACTGAGCCTCGAAGGTGTGAACCAGTGGACAATCCAGTAGTGCGATGCGAAAAGTGCTTTGACCACTCTGATGTCAACGAGTGCGTTCGGGCTCTATACCACTAACAACAGTTGTTCCTCTTTGAGAGACAGGATGGAAAGGATAGTTAATGTTGTTGTTGTTTTTGTTGTTGTTTCTGTTGTAGTTGCTGTTGTTGTTGTTGTTGTTGTTGTTGTTGTTGTTGTTGTTGTTGTTGTTGTTGTTACTGAAGTTTTAGTGTGGCTTTTTTACCGTATGGTCAATAATTGGACTGTTCCCAGCATTCAGCTCAGTCTAGGAAACAGTTTGGCTTCGAGTGACACTTGTGATTTTTTGTTGTTGTAGGGGAGTAGGGGGTCCAATCGAAGACAGATTCACTGGTCACGCCTTTTAAGTAAATTTACAAAGTTAAAAGAACCCATATCACCCCTTAAAAATAATGCAGTGTTGACTGGGGAGGGGGGGGGGATTAAATTCGTGTTTTTTGCTTGGTTTGTTTTGGTTTTTGTTTTAATTAGTACTTATTTCACACCCCACCTCCATCGAAAAAACGTTAGATAAAACAGGAAGCGGGCTGCTTCTATCTTACTTATAGGGGTTAACCTGCATTGTAGGAGAAAAAAAGAATAGATGCTCGATTAAAAACGATGATTTTGCAAGCTCACATTTATATCTGCTTGACCTAACTCACCCCACTAGTATCAGTGAGAGTTGGAGATTCTCCGACGACCGGCGGTCCAGCCAAATGGAGAAGATCGTACTCGTAATGAGGCCGGGTTGGCTCGTGATCCGGATTGAGCAAGTCGTGAGGGACGATCACGCTTAATTGCACTCTTCATTACAAGGACTCGCTGTCCGGAATATCCCCTTTGCGAGTTCACCAGTCCATGTTTTATGCTATCTATTCATTTCTCAATCTTTCCCCTCTCCCATCCATTCGACCGTCCATCTATTATCCCTCCATTTTTCAATTTGCCCATTTGTTTATTTTATCTATCTATCTATCTATCTATCTATCTATCTATCTATCTATCTATCTATCAATATATCTATCCATCTATCTATCTATCTATCTATCCATCTATCTATCCATCTATCTATTGGTCTATCGATCTGTCTATCTATCTATCTATCTATCTATCTATCTATCTATCTATCTATCTATCTATCTATCTATCTATCTATCTATCTATCTATCTATCTATCTATTTGTCTGTCAGTCTGTTCATTTGTCTTTCTATTCCGATACCCGTATGTCTATTTATCTATATTATTATTATTAT